CTGCAAATTAAAATTAAATTGGGAAGCATGGGCAAGGCCATGTGATAAGAGACTAAGAAAATATGGGTGATGACTAGAGGAAAGAAGGCACAGGAGTGAAGGGAGCAGGGAGGTAAAACAAAGGAGGATCAGAAATGTAACACTGAGATCAGTTTTATGTAACTGTATATTACATTAAATGTGCTACCATAAAAGTGCAAATTAATCTCTGAACTCTGCTGCCTTTAGTGCAGTAACATTAGGAATGAATTTTCCCCATTACGGATCTGATCCCAAGCCCACTAAAATCAGTGGAAAGATACCCACTGATTTCAGTGGGCTTTGGATTAGACCTAAGGTCTATAATTCCACTTGTGGGTTCTGATGTTCCTAAAATATCTTGACAAAATTATAGCCTTTTTTATGGAGGGCAGCTCGGTATTCTTGTTGATAACTGTTTTTCCCTTTTGCCGTTGTCTTACACAAAATACATTTTCTTTTCTGAGAACAATAACTCCCAAAGGTTAGTGTGGGATTCAAAACAGGGGTTTTATGTGCTTTATCTTACTGCAAACACGTACTATGGATTTTGGTGCAAACTGCTCTGGGTAGTCCTTTTGATTTCATGCTTCATAGTAGGTGTGTGTTTGCAGGAGACGGCCACTTTAAAATATGCAGTCCCTTACATAGGGATACTTTCTTCTTCTGTGACATGTATAGCTCTTTACTCAACAAATAATGATAGGTAAGAGGCATGCTTGTTGAAAACCAAAAGAATCTAATATCCCAAAGGATGAAATGGACAGTAATTTAGAAACACCAGATTGGCATGTTCCTACCCCAGTCCTGAATTCAGGCTACTATTCCTACTAAAGAACCCACCTATTGTTCACAACCATAAGTCCCGTCAGTTATTTAGTAGTAGATTGGATGCAAACCATGGACAAAGAAAAGAAAATTATTATTATTGATTTCAGGAGAAAACTGGATTTGGCCAAAGATAAAACTCCCATTCATTTCAGTGGTAGGTAGATGAGGTACTATTGTCATTCACCAAGTTTCAGCCAGTGACATAGATTACATTTAGTGTCAAATACTTGCTCTGCACCTCTGTTCAGTTCAATATATCAAAGATTATTCTACAGATTACTTTTTCTCTCACAGATTAGGCAAATTTATCCAGTTATTTTATGAACAGTTAGTTAATAGTTGTCAAGAGAGAGGTATATATTTATTAAAAATGCACTGCCCTTAAAATATTTCATAAACTCTTGAAAAAAAATTTATGGAAAATAAATTAGAGTGCAGCATGCATCCTTACTATGTGCTATAAAGCTATCCTTCTTGGGCTCACAGCTCCTTTAAAGGTAATCATGAACACGTATTCTGCAGCACTTACAGTTCCTTTGCAGCATTTTGCAGTGTATTATAGTCATACCAAGTTATGTTTCATTACGTACATCATTAACATATATCTTTCCCCACTCTTAATTCCCATTCAAAAAGGGACAAATCCTGAAAATCAGCACTGGCTGTATAAATCATCCCCATGGATTGTAGAGCAACTTTGTGGCTGCAAGTGAACACTGTGATGAGCCTGGATGAGATATGGGTGAGATTTTTCAAAGGTGTCTAAGTGGACTACGAACTAAGTTCCAGTGAAACTCAGTGGGACTTGTGCTCCTAACTAGCACACTTTTGAAATTCAGACCCTTCTGGCTTTAGGCTGCAGAAGCTTATGTTCCTGCTCAACAGAGGGCAGTGACCAGTAGACTCTGTGGTATCAAATCTAACAGCCCAGTCCTGTTCCAGTCCTGTTGCTCTTGCATTGCCACAGCCAGACATGTCCTTGGAGCTGCAGAGGGTTAGCCATGGTTCCATGCCACATAGGTGGCAGGATTTGCCCCACAGCGGAAAACTTTTATTCATGCAACAGTGGAATGGGGCATCAGCCTTGGTGTCTTAGCCAGATTCCAACTTTGTTGAGTATGCTGCCACCAGGGTGGATTTGATTTAAATCACTAGTCAGGAAGACTTGATTTAATCATGGATTTCTAAATAAAAGTGCATTCTTGGTGGTTGTTATAACCTTAATACATATTCTTCACAACTCAGAGATAGATGTAGGTTTCATTTTTAGAAGGTACACACTATACATTTTTTCAGTGATTTATTTTGAAAACTTTTCAGATTAGTTTTACAGCTATATCAGAAAATAAATGATTGTTAGTTATTTCATTTACCAAAGTAATTGAAGCAGATATTTATGAAGTCATTGGGAGGTGAACGATCTCCAATTCAACAGATTAATCTTTAATATTTGGAGGATTTTCTTGCCATGCTGTATTAGGAGGGGAACATCACCAGACAGACATTTAAATAGTTTTATTTAACTAAAACAATGTTATGTATTCTAGATTTTTTTCTTCAACACCAAACATATAATATTTTAATAAAACAAGCATATGAATTTTTGAATTTAGTTAAACATTTGAGTTTTTTAAAATCAGGTTTGTTTTTGTTAAAATTGTTTTTAACTAAAATAGTTAAATGAAATATTTTAAAAACAAAAATGAAATAGACTGTCAGCCAGGTCAATATGAGAAACTTAAAATATTGGCTTCTGCTGCTAACTCAGTCATCTTCACCTTCATTTTCCTGTTTGTTCATAATCTGGAAAAGAAAAACAAGCTTTCCTGCTTTTTCAGGTCCCAAACGGTTTCTCAAGTTGGAATGAATTAGTCCAAAGGAAGAAAATATTCTTTTTACACCGACAGAAAAAGCTACTGCTGTTAAAAGTGAGATTATCACTTCAACAGTCTCTGAATCCAAGTGCTTAAGTGACTTCCACCAGTTCACGGGTGTGGCTTTCTTTCTTTAAAACATCATCAGCAAACATATATTTCTTGAATGGTTCACCCTTACCTCTGAAGTTTATTATAATTGGCATTATGGAGGGATGATTGCTGGATGTCCATGTCATAGCCAACTCCTCTTCTTCAGCAGTTAAGGTTTGACCCTGGTACCGAGTATTGAGAATATTTGCAAGAAAATGAACGGGAGATAGTGCTTGTCCCCTTCATTTTTTTTAATGCTTGTAATTTAGTTCTGTCATTGCATATTTCTCTTTTTAAGTTCTCACTCAGTTCCTTCCAAATTCAACAGTGTCAGCAGTAAAACAGCTATTTCCCTGCATTTTGTTCAAGGCTACAGAAATAGGCTTCAGGGTACTCAGCATGTGTTCAACATTTCTCTTAAGCCCAATGTTGAGAACTTTGGCTGTGACAGTATCATCTATTTTTTCACAATTTTGTTCACAAACTGTGTCAAGGTTCCTCCCCCACTCTGAACTCTAGGGTACAGATGTGGGGACCTACATGAAAACCTCCTAAGCTTACTTTTACCAGCTTAGGTTAAAACTTCCCCAAGGTATAAATTAATTTTATCTTTTGTCCCTGGAATAACCACTGCCACCACCAACCTCTAACTGGGTTTACTGGGAAACGTAGTTTGGACACGTCTTTCTCCCCAAAATCCTCTCAACCCTTGCACGTCACTTCCTGGGAAAGGTTTGGTAAAAATCCTCACCAATTTGCATAGGTGACCACAGACCCAAACCCTTGGATCTGAGAACAATGAAAAAGCATTCAGTTTTCTTACAAGAAGACTTTTAATAAAAATAGAAGTAAATAGGAGTAAAGGAATCACCCCTGTAAAATCAGGATGGTAGGTACCTTACAGGGTAATTAGATTCAAAACATAGAGAAGAATCCCTCTAGGCAAAACCTTAAGTTACAAAAAAAGAGACACACAGACAGAAATAGTCATTCTATTCAGCACAATTTTTTTCTCAGCCATTTAAAGAAATCATAATCTAACGCATACCTAGCTAGATTACTTACTAAAAGTTCTAAGACTCCATTCCTGTTCTATCCCCGGCAAAGCAGCATACCAACAGAGAGACACAGACCCTTTGTTTCTCTCCCTCTTCCCAGCTTTTGAAAGTATCTTGTCTCCTTATTGGTCATTTTGGTCAGGTGCCAGTGAGGTTACCTTTAGCTTCTTAACCCTTTACAGGTGAGAGGATTTTTCCTCCGGCCAGGAGGGATTTTAAAGGGGTTTACCCTTCCCTTTACATTTATGACAAACTGTCATCAGATTAGGCCAGTTCTTGATATAGTGCTCAAACCAGTCCACTGCTGAGTTCTATTGCATGTCTTGTGGGAGAGTTAGCTTGGTTCCTCCCACTTGTTTCAGAGCAGCTGCTGAAAAGTGGTTGTTACAGAAGTATTTTGCAATTTCAACAACATTAGCCTTTATTTCTGGAACACCGAAGTCATTGGCTAGGAAGTGCATCAAATGAGCACTGCAACCGTATGTTATTAGCTAGGGACTCGCTTCTAAATTTCTTATCTTGGATACATTTGCAGCATTGTCTGTGACCTAGCTGCATACTAGACATTTGAATTTTTTTCAGTTTGTTATAGCTTTTACTGCTACTTCTTGTAAGTATTCTGCTGTGTGTGCATTTCCTGCTGCATCAATTGTTTCTGTAAGTTAGACATTCCCTTCTTCTGTTGTCACACAAGCACATACAACAGGATCATTGTGGACATTACTCCACCCATCAAGACTCAGGTTAACAATTTCACCTTCTAGACCTTTTGCACACTGCTCAATTTCTTTCATACACTTTATCCAGTAATTTGACTGAGACACCTGGTCTGTTGGGTGGACTGTATCCTGGTCTTAATGACCGAACTATGTTAATAAAGTGTGGGTTCTCAATCATACAGAAAGAAGAGTTTGTTGCATAAACAAACTGGGCAATTTTTTCATCAGCTACCTCTTTTTGTAATCTGCTGGTTCTTATCACAAACTTGAGGTGCCACAAGTACTCCCACATTTTTTTTGCTGATACAGACAAACCCGGCTACGACTCTGAAACCTGTTATCCACGGTTGTTTCTGGATGATGGAGATTTTTTTTTTCTTTTTGCTACAGGAGATACACTGGGGCTGTGAGACATACAGGATGTGACTGAAACACTATCATTGGCAGATAACTCTGAAACTATAGAAAATGATGGTGATCTTGAAGGTGGATAGTCTTCAGAATCCTGTATGTTGAGGATGGATTCTCCTAAACAAAATAAGACAATGCAATTATTTTAATTATTCTTACCATACTGCTCATTTAGTGTTACTCATTGCATTCCCTGGCACTCAGTACTACTTTAAAGGTAAAATTGTAAAAGGAAAATCAGCCTATTTCAGCTATTTATTTTTTAACACAACTGCATCTAAAATGATAGTACCATAGAGTAACAACTATATTTTTTGCTCAAATGTAAGAATTCAAGAATAGTCCAGAAGGAAGACAGGCAGTCCTTAAGAAAGACGTATGAAAGAAAAAAGTTTACCAACCTGAAGATCCTGCATGTTCAGACATGTTCCTTTCATCATCTTTTCAACGTAGCTTCCTCCTGAGAAGGATCACTTCTCATGATGTTGTTTCATATGGGCGATCAGGCCTTGCATTTCTTTGTTGCACTGTTTGCATTTTTCACACATGCCTGTCTTACCCGCAGGTAGAGGAACTTCATTAAAATATTCCCAAACTGGGTCTCTTTTATGGCCTGCTGCGATTATTGGTTTTCTCTTCTAGTGAGAGAATGGTAAAGTAGATCTCAAATCAATGAACGCTACAATCAGAAAGACCTCAAGACTTCTGCATTATGCTGCTCAAACAGTTTCACTTTTGTTTCTACTGCCTATCCCTCCCTTTTCACATTTATCATGATTTAGTTGGGGATTGGCCCTGGTTTGAGCAGGGGGTTGGACTAGATGACCTCCTGAGGTCCCTTCCAACCCTGATATTCTGTGGGTCTATGATCTCCAGATTCCTTCTTTATCCTGATCTATTCCACTCCCAACAATCTTCTATTCATTGAACTTTTTGCAACTTTGCACTTTTAGAGAGAGGTAAGGGATTGACTCTGTGTACACAAATTTGCAGAGGGACAGTAGGGTTGAGGTCTGTTATGTCTCACCTTTATTTTTTCTTTTTCTTTCTAAACATTTTTGCTGTTAACAACCATGTTATCTCTGGAGCCACAAATCCATAGTTTGAGAACTACAAAACTAAGCGTCTCTGATGGTATCTTCTAGACTGAGCACTGAGTCCCATTGGATGGATAGAAAGATTAACCTAAATAATCTATACAGAACCCCCTGGAACCCTATAAGATTGGGTCCCTAATCCATGAACCATTGGAACTCATTTACAAAACTTTTCTTAAACATTACATGAATATATTGTCTCATACTGTAGAATTAGAATTTATAATCCCTATTCCATGATGAGATAGTTTTAATGAAGATACATTATAGCTCAAAGCTATCTTTAGATAAAATGCTTTTTGAGGGAAAAAAACCTATCAAAAAAACCCGATTTAAATAAAAAAATATTTTTTTTATTGATCTACCCTACCTGCCACCCTCTGTACCAAATGGATGTAATAACCTTTTATACCTGTGCTAAACAGTAATGTTAAATTTCACTCCTTGCCGTGGCTGCACTTACATGGTGGTGGTTTACATAATTCTTTGTGTAAAGTTTATACAATACCTCAGTAAAAGTTTGAGGTGATCTGGGATCTATAGGCTGAAAGCCCTTGTATAGATGCAAGAATATTGTGATTATACATTACAAATTTTTTTTCTTGCTCTTTGATATGCAGCATCAAAGCAAACAAATGCAAATGACCATTCTAAACCCTTCTTACAAGGTCAGTACATGTTTAAAGTCTTTAACGTATTACAGTTAATGTAAGCGTACTGACTTGCTGCAGATTGGCTTCTGAGGAAACTGGTTTCTAAACAGAGGGGTCTGTTATTGTGTGTTGATTGGAACTGGATTGGTTTTATTTATCTAGGTACCCAAGTGTCTTCCTGTCGGGTGCCCCTTTATTTATTTTGAAATAAACACAAACCACCATTCTGTTCTGTAGATATGAAAATGGCAAGGTTTGATAGGGCCCACATGTGTAATTTTTTTTTTCATAACCAACCACCCAAAAAGGCATCAACATTCTCATGTTCTAGGACAAACCTAATTAGGATGTTAGGAGCACACAATAGGTATTGAGCAATATTAGAAATTGTTTCTACAATTTTTTATGTTGACTACTAATTTGAATTTGTATAACTGGGTAAAAACTAATAACAGGGATAACATTTTTTTACTCCAGACACTAATCTGTGCCCTAGGCATAAGCATCAGGCCTCTTAGTTGTCTTCTGTGACCTTTCATTGAAAAATACAGAATTCCACCAACAAAGGGAGACAGTCAATAACTGGCTGTTTACATCTTACAAGGCGATATTGAAAATTTGGAAGAGTTGATAATGGGAGATAATTTGCTAGCTCAAAATATTATTTCTTCTTTAATTTTGTGGACAAACATACTTCACCAACAGGCTGGTCAATAAGCTGCTTCTCCTCCTGTGTGTTGTTGTTTGTTACTTTAAAATGACCAAACACCACAAACATTTGTAGAATTTAGTGTGATGTGTTCTGGGAGTAAGGACACTACACTGTAAACCACAATATTGTTAGATCAGTATTTGGCTTACTGTATCTGAAAAACCTCCAAAACAAACAGCATGCCCAAAAGTTCAGATGATGAAATATAGTGATTGTTGGTCTTAAATAACTTTGGTACAGGGGAGATAGAGAGAGGGTTATAAAAAGACCAAAAAAACCAAAACACTCACAAATGCGTATCCTAGAAAGAACAGTGCAGAACACTCACATTTGTTAGAATATAATCTCTGCATTGTTGGATAGCAGTGGTCCCTAAACTTTTCAAGTCGTGCCCCCCACATCCTGTCTGTGCCTTCTCCCCCATCGCCTACCTCAGGAGCCACCGCTGGGAATGGGGCCCTGGGGCTGGAGCTGAGGCAGTGCGCGGCTGGGAGTAGGTCTGGAGCTCGGAGTGGAGCCACAGGGCCGAAGCTGGAGGCAGAGTGGGATGCAGCTGGGGGTGGAACGGGGCTCGGTGGTGCTCTATCCCTGCCTCTTGTGGTGGCTGGCCCAGGCCCATCCATGTCCCCAAACGTTCCTCCGTGCCCTGATAAGGTGGCTCATCCCTCAGTTTCGGGACCACTGTTTTATAGGTTTATGGAGAGCCAATTTTACGAAGTGAGACTACTCAAATATTGATAGCATCTTTATAAAAGTGATGTCTAACAATGAATTGTGCTAAATATTACAGCTAATGTTCAATAATGGGCTAATATTCTACACTGTCATTCTTGACTAATTTATGCTTTTCTCTAAAAGATGTTTCAAGCAATATTTTATAGGTGTATCCCCATATCTCAAGCTTTGGTTGCTTTCCTATATTCAGTAATTTTGATTAGGGAGCAGACATCTTGGTCTAAATAAACATTTCTTTCTACACAGATGATCATTTAGTAGTCTGACTGCCTGTCTCACAACTGTCATTGTGAGGGGTTTGCACAAATGCATTGTACCTCCATATTTAGGTTACTTATATTTAGCTTCAATCACAAAGCCTTCCCTGTAGGCCCATAAATAACCTCAAACTGTTTTTACAGGCCTTTGCTATAAAGCCAGATATCCTCTGTACACTGGCACTCCTCTCCAACTGGAAACCAACATTTTAACAGATGATTTCCTGTTATTACTGTAGCAGTATCAAAATCTGATCACTTACCAAGCAGCATGTTGTCCAAGAAACTGAAGCAAGGAGTGCAGCCAGCTGTTTGTTTTTCAAGTGTTATAACATTTTAAAGAATCGTATGTTAAGTAGATGCCCAGAGTAGTACTGTCAGGGACAGGAGGTGGAGCCAGGAGGCCACCTGTGTTGCATGATGATCTATTGCAGCCCAGTCAGAGCAGCTGATATTCTATTGTCCCTAGCAATTAATATATATGAGTAGAAAGTGGAGGGAAGGATCTGTACTGGTTCATTTGTAAAAGATGAACAAGCTGCTCTTTATTTTGTTGATTTGTTAATGAAACAATATAGAAAAAATGGTGATGTCAAACAAGATGAAACCCCATCTATAAACCTGTTTTGCTTTTTAAAAAATACTGTCTAGTAATTTGCTGCATGTGGACCTGATTAGAGCCCACTGAAATCAATGGAAAAACTCATTAGGTTCATCGGGCTTTGGATCAGGCCTCTCAGCTTCATCGAGTGAACGTTCATTTTTATTTGTGTTTCATTCATTTTTTTGCCATAACCTTTAAGTCTGTGTTTTCAAATATGGTTGCATTCCTGGCTGGGAAATGTAGTTTTAGATACATTAAGTAGGCCTCATAGTTCTGCTGTAAATTTCATGTTGACCATACAAAATTAGATTGATGCTCCACATCTAAGGAAATAATGATTCTTAAAAAGGTGTTATTTTGTGCTAGTGCACTGTCTTCATGTACAGTGAGAGAGTGATCAGAGATTCCATTATGGCTGGAAATTTTTGATCTGAGGCAAGGTATCAAAAACAGATCCTGAAATTGAGGTTAGGTTACGGTATTCTAAGCCGTATTTACAGAATTGCTAAGGAGTGTTGGTAGGAGTTATGTTTTTTGATGATGCCATTCTTCAGACTAAACTGTGTAACAACATATGGCTTTTTTGTAATTTTAGCTGGAGTCTTGTATTTTATTTCTTACTGCAAGCAGGCAACAGTTAAAAAATAAAAACAAAGTCATAACAAAAATAATAAAAGTTGACAAAGCAAAAGGAAAAACCATAGGGAGCAGTAGGGGGTAGTTTACATATACTCTAATAAATTAAACTAACAAGACATATGCCAGTCATCACCTTGACCACTGTTCCTGTATTTGTTACTCCTTTCCTTCACCCTTCGCTTATCTTTCATCATCTCAAAATTTATATTGCTCAGGATAGATATTGTATCGAGAAGGAAGTGAATACATTTTGGGTACTATTGTAAGATTGGAAATTTAAAGTAACACTGGAAGGAAAGACTTAAGCTTCAGCTGTCCTAAGAAATTATTATCGGAAGTCCTAAGAATCTCTTGAATTCAAATGAAAAGGAGCCCTTAATTAATTTAATGCCTGTTGTGAAATATCCCAAAAGTTAAAACTAGAGCTGGCAAAAACTAGTGATTTCCAGTTGGTGGGAATTTTAATAATTCAAGCTTTTTCATTCCAATTTGGAATTAAACCAAATTTTTTAAAATAAAAATTGTTTTGGAAACACAGACACATGGAAATCAGTTCCCCAGGACCCTGGCAACAGCTGACTGACATTCCTGTCAGTTTCACCGCTGTTATGCAGATGAAGGTGTGAAACTGACGAAGAATGTTTATTTCACTTAGCAGCTACCCAGACCCCCAGGGTATGCTCCTCTAGGGCAGCACTATGACACAAGGACTTCCAGACCAGCAGGCTTCCAGGGCTACCCACTCAGTAGTTGGGTAGCCCAGAGAGCCAGCCGGACTGCAAATCTGGAAACCTTGGACGTGGAGTGATGGAGCAGCCCCACCATGCACCATAGACTCTGAAAGCCTGGGCTCCCAGAAGCCTGCCAGAGAGTTAGCAGGTAACTCACAAGAACGTTTTGTTTCTGACAAAAACATGTCTGTCAGACAAGATTCCAGGAACCTTGCAGGTGAATCGATGAAAAATTGGTAAACGCAATCTGTTTTCACAGAACAGTTCGGGTTTGACAAATCAGCATTTTCTGACCAGCTCTTGTTAAAACATTTCCTGCCAGCAGGACAGAGTAAAAAAAGCCTTTAATTTAACTAAAAAGTGACCTCATTTTTGTGCACATGCCACTGAGGTGTGGGACTTGAGACTAAATAAGCTAAAGACTCACCATCAGTCAATTCTCACAGGAGGATGCCTGATTTAGCACTTCACAGAATCATAGAATATCAGGGTTGGAAGGGACCTCAGGAGGTCATCTCGTCCAACCCCCTACTCAAAGCAGGACCAATCCCCACCTAAATCATCCCAGTCAGGGCTTTGTCAAGCCTGACCTTAAAAACTTCTAAGGAAGGAGATTCCACCACCTCCCTAGGTAACACATTCCAGTGTACTCATCAAAGAGAGTAGGAGTTGAGAGCTTAACTGGCAAACAACTTGTGTTTAGGCTGTATCTCCACAGCAGTTAATTCATGTGTAGATAACTCAAGTTAACTTCCCTTGAATTAGTCTAGTTCGAGAGGGAGCAGCCAACTTCAAAATAGTACTTAAACTGCACAGAGTGATTGTGTTACCAGCTTATGAGTTGTGCTAATGCAGGCTATAGTCTGTAGCCCCTCATGGACCAGTCAACATGAGTTAAAAGCACCAACACACTTGAGTTAAAGGATTATGTGTGTAGATGAAAAGTTATGGGCCACCCTCAGTTTATAAAAAGAAAAGGAGTACTCGTGGCACCTTGGAGACTAACAAATTTATTTGAGCATAAGCTTTTGTGAGCTACAGCTCACTTCATCGGATGCATGCAGTGGAAAATACAGTAGGGAGATTTTATATGCACAGAGAACATGAAACAATGGATGTTACCATACACACTGTAACGAGAGTGATCAGGTAGGTGAGCTATTACCAGCAAGAGGAAAAAAAAACAAACAACCTTTTATAGTGATAATCAAGGTGGGCCATTTCCAGCAGTTGACAAGAACGTGTGAGGGACAGTAGGGGGGAAAAATAAACATGGGGAAATAGTTTTACTTTGTATAATGGCACATCCACTTCCAGTCTTTACTCAAGCCTAATTTAATGGTGTCCAGTTTGCAAATTAATTCCAATTCAGCAGTCTCTCGTTGGAGTCTGTTTCTGAAGTTGTTTTGTTGTAATATTGCGACTTTTAAGTCTGTAATCGAGTGACCAGAGAGATTGAAGTGTTCTCGGACTAGTTTTTGAATTTTATAGTTCTTGACTTCTGATTTGTGTCCATTTATTCTTTTACGTAAAGACTGTCTGGTTTAGCCAATGTACGTGGCAGAGGGGCATTGCTGGCACATGATGGCATGAGAGTCCAAAGAGAATCACTTAGCAATTTATTTTTATCAGTATTATTTGTATCATATGGTAGCACCTAGATGCACCACTGTGATTGGTGCACCGTTGTGCTAGGCTCTGTACAAATGCATAGTAAGAGACAGTCCCTGCCCTAAAGATCTTACATTTGTGCTGCCGCTCCCCAGCTGTACAACAGAAATAATACTACTTCCTTTCTCTCCACCTTTTCTACTTAGGCCCAATCCTGAAAAGATTTACGCACATATTTCATTTTAAGCACGTGAATAGTCCAGTTGAAATGAATGGGACTATTCACATGCTGAAAATGAAGCATGTATTAAGTCTGTGCCGGATCATGGCCAAAATGAAAAAGGTAGGCTACAAGTAGGAGGAAGGAAGTGTTATTATCCCTGTTTTATAGATGGTGAGCTGCAGCGCAGGGAGATTAAGTGACCTATTTAAACGTACACAGGAAGTCTGTGGCATAGCTGGAAATTGAACCCAGATCTCCTAAATCCCAGTCCTTTCTTTCCTGTGAAATAAATTTTCTACTAACATTATAACTCTAAAGGCTAGTTTTGCAGTAATGGAGTTTTGGTATATGTTTCAGACATAAAATGCATTTTATTTTCGTGTTTCTTGTATTGCATTTTGGTCCTTTTAAAATAAATACTGTTGCATAAATTGTAATCTTAGTTACGTTAGAATAAATCTTGAACAGTATAATTTATTGACTTCACCTGGTTTACTGCATATTTACACCTGTGTAACTCAGAACAGAGTTTGGGTCTACATCTATAACACTTAGAGCATGCTCTATCAGGGAGTCCATTCTTGACATACATCTTACAAATGTATACCCGTCATGTGGACATTACTCCTTGTCATTTGGGACAAACAGGGGAGCGTTTGAATCTTTTTAGAAAGATGAAAATGTAGGTGAATTAGTCTTAATACATTATGCTGAGACACGGCTTATGACTCACGCTGCCCTGTTAAGGATTATAGGTCTGATGCTGAGTTCCCACAACTTTGGTGGGAATTGTCGGAAGTTCACAGCTTTCAGACACAGTTTCTGCCCACACAGATGTACTTGCCCTAAGGCTGAAGGTGCACGTGGTAATGCCTTCCAATATAAGAGTGAGGCTCTTCTCAGATGTCTGTTGCTGCAGAAGCAAGGTGTGGATGTGCAAGGTTGCTGCAGAAACAAGATAGGATAGGGAGCAAGAGTTCAAAACAGTGCTAATGGAGAGGCGAAACGGGAAGGTGGGAATGTGATGGGTTGACTGGGATTGCAGGGGAAGTGGGAGCTTGCAGGAGCAAGAAAGGCAACTGCAGTGCCTCAGAGACTTGAGTGACCATTCCTGTTTGAAAAGCCTGATTTTTTAGATTTTCAGTTCCCATGGATGTCAGCTTGAGTTGAGATGCTCAGCACATCTGACAAATCATGTTCTAAGTTCCTTGACTTCCAGCCGATTACGTTTTAGCTTTGACCTATAGATCCATTCTCTTCCTAGTGCATCATGTATGTTTGCATATTTTTCTGCATATTTTTGGACACTCCTACCTACATGTAGCGGCATTTAGTTCTCATAGTTCTTGTTAAACTTTATTTTTCTAGATGTATAAACCCTCCCTGTCCCACCTCACTTCAGTACTGTGCAAGCCTTGGTCAGTGAGGTACAACAGGAAGCAAGCTTTCACAGCTCCAAACCAGTGAAAAATTGAAACTACTGTATTGTATTATTTTCATTTTGTTGTCATCTTCTGTGACTTTCAGCATTTATCTGA